GCCCCACCATGCCTCCTGCCCCAGCCCACCTGGAGGTCGGACCCTGGGTCTCCACCACCCACCAGCCCTCACAGCCTCTCCCAAACATGCCCCCCAACTCCACGTCCATGTGATTGGGGACCAGGGCCACCACCTCCCCTCGCCTCGACCTCCTCTCCCCCCATGCTCCAGCCTCAGTATCGCTCCCTGCCACAGCTGAGCCTGGGCTGCCTGGCCTTTCACACCCAGCTTATGCACAGTGCTTCTTGGACAGTGGACGCTGCCCCCTGATGATGGCCCTCAGTCCTCTCCTAAAGGGTCAGTCCAGTCCTGGTGGGGCTCACTGTCCTGTAGGCCCTGGCCAGGTCGCTGGCACACGGTCTGTGCACGCTGTCCGACCCTGCTGCCAGGTGCCCTCCTTTGGAGCTGACAGGGTGAGGAGTGGCCTCCAGCAGGAAGACCCCGAGTCCATGTCAGGCTGTGTTCCCATGGCCCTTCCAGGCCTGCCAACACTTTCTCTCCCCTGGCTGATTCCCGCACGTTCCTACAGCTGTGGCTCAGCTTTGCACCCGTGGCTGACACCGTCGCTGAACGCTTCTCCCTATCTGTGGGGCAGCTCAACTGGCTCTCGCTGGTCTACCTCGTGGTCTCCATCCCGTTCGGCGTGGCGGCCATCTGGGTCCTGGACTCTGTTGGGCTCCGCTGGACGGTGCGTCAGACCCCCACCACGGCTGTTCTGAGACAGCGCGGGGTCTCCTGCCTTTGGGCATGAGAGCCATTGCCTTCTCCCAGACCGGGGCCCACCAGCCCCACCAGCTGGGGCCCCAGGAGAGTCACTGGGCAGTGGGGCGGCTGGAGGCCTGGGTGCTGGGAGGATGACATCTGGGGACCCAGGAGATGGGGGAGCCTGGGCTGGCCGGCAGCACTCCTGACCCCTCCCCGCAGACCATCCTGGGTGCGTGGCTGAACTTTGCCGGAAGCGTGCTCCGCGCCCTGCCCTGTCTGGCTGCTGGGGCCCTCCACCCATTTGCCTTTTTCATGGGTGGCCAGAGCCTCTGTGCCCTGGCTCAGACCCTGGTCATCTTCTCTCCGGCCAAGCTGGCTGCCTTGTGGTTCCCGGAGCACCAGCGAGCCACGGCCAACATGATCGCCACCATGTGTGAGTCCTCTGGCTAGGGTGGGAGCACTAGAGCCAGGAAGACTGTGCCTGTGGGCTGGGGACAAGGCTGGCCGCAGCTGAGCTGATGCATTTCTCTGTCCATCCAGCAAACCCCCTGGGCATCCTTGTGGCCAACGTGCTGTCACCTGCCCTGGTCAAGAAAGGGGAGGACATCCCCCTAATGGTGAGGGGGCTCATGGGGGGCACGTGTGTGTCTGTGTGTGTGCACGTGTGTGTGGTATCTGCATGTGTCTGTACGTGCATGCACACCTGTGCATCCACACCTGTCCATGTGACACACCTGGGTGTGTTAAGTGTGACCTGCTTCTCATGTGGGTGTGCAGTTGGCGGTAAGTCGGGTGAGTCTGGAGCTCGGGAGGTCAGGCTCGTGCCATCAAGGAGCAATCACCTTGAGTGTTATTCTGAGAGCCTGCGTTCTGCAGGAAGCCCCCCTGGAGCAGGCGAGGAAGACTGTGGAGCAGGCCCAAGGCAGGCCAGAGATTGAGGGCTGGGCTGCACCAGCAATGGGGCAGGAGTTGCTGGGGTGGGTGTGGTCGGGAGCCAGGGCAGGGGCCAGGTGCATGCGTCTGCGTGGTTCTCTGTGCACATGTGCATCCTCTCTGCAGCTTGGCATCTACGCCGTCCCTGCTGGCCTCACCTGCCTGCTGGCCACTGCCGGCCTCTGGGAGAACGTGCCCCCCACCCCACCCTCCGCTGGGGCTGCCATCTCCAGCTCGGAGATGTTCCTCGATGGGCTCAAGCTGGTTGGTGCTGTGGGAACCAGGGCTGGGGTGACTGAGGAGAGGGGACAGGGCGGGGAAAGCCCCTGGCCAGGCGCTCCCACCTGGGCTCCTGGGCTGAGAGGCCCCTTCCCCTCCAGCTTGTGCGGAACAAGGCCTACGTCATCCTGGCTGTGTGCTTCGGGGGTGGCATTGGGATCTTCTCCAGCTTCTCGGCCCTCCTGGAGCAGATCCTCTGTGTGAACGGATACTCCAATGTGAGCCCCTGGCCCCTGCCCACGGAAGTGTGGCTGCGGATCCCCACACTCTCCCCGCGCTCATGTCCACACCCTGATGGGGCTGATGTTGGCGTCCTCCTGATGTCAAGGGCCCTGTGGGAACTGTGCACGAAAAGCCGCAGTTACAGCTCTGGGGGAGGCAGGCAGGGGTGGTGGCCATGGGGACAGGGTGGTCGTGGCACTGGGACTTTGTATCTCTTCACCCTGTTTCCAGTGCCCTTCCCAGTAAGGCCCTGGCCCTGCAGGTCTCCGGGCATGCAGAGGGGACTACCCTCTGCCCTCTGGCATCCGTGTTGGGTGTGGGTATCTGTGGTGACAGTCTCTCCCCTTTGGTGATTGTTTTGTTCCTGGGGGGGCAGGTGGCACAGTGCAGGACACACCACCCCGCAGGCAGCCTTAATGCAGTGCAGCCTGCATTTGTGCCTGGGCCTGAGCGCCACATGGTGGTCCTACTGCGGGCCCCCTGATGACAGTGTACGTCCTGGTGAAGGTGTGGCTCCCTGCTGGGTGATGTGCCCAGCCTCTCCTCTCCTCCTCCAGGAATTTTCAGGCCTCTGTGGGGCTCTCTTCATCGTGTTTGGGATCCTGGGGGCCTTGGCCCTCGGGCTGTATGTGGACCGGACCAAGCGCTTCACCGAAGCCATCAAGATAGGCCTGTGCCTGACCTCCTTGGCTTGCGTGGCCTTTGCCCTGGTGAGAGTGCACCTGAGCCAAAACCACCTTGCAGGAGTGGGAGGGGTGCCCAGGTAGGCCGGTAGGTTGTGAGGCAGCTTGGCCAGCACAGACGTCCGGACCCACAGTCCTTGCCTCTGCCACTGGGGTGGCCCCTGGGTGGACTGGGCTCCTTTCTGCAGGTCCAGGGCAGAGGCACGTCTGACTGCTTCCCTGTCTCTCTACTGCTGTGCTGCTCCCAGGTGTCCCAGCTGCGGGGACAGACTGTGGCACTGGCCGCTGTCTGTGCACTGCTCGGGCTCTTTGGCTTCTCCGTGGCACCTGTGGCCATGGAGCTGGCAGTTGAGTGCTCCTTCCCTGTGGGTGAGGGCGCCTCCGCAGGCCTGGTCTTCGTGCTGGGGTGAGTGTCCATCTGCACCACCTGGCCCGTGAGGTGCTGCTTGCCCAGGGGGCCCGGAGACCCCCCTACCCCAGGCTGCGTGGCCCAGGCCCCTTTCCCACAAAGCAGGAAACCCATCTGCTCTGGAGAGGGCTGAGCACGTAGAGGGCCTGCTGTGTGCAGGCCTGGGTGGGCTGCCCTGCAATGACTGGTGGCACTGTGGGTGGCCCGGGTGTCAGCCTCTCTGGATGCCCAGCTCTGCTGGGTTGGGCAGAGTGGGGCTGAGGGCCGTGTGTGTCCAGGCAGGCTGAGGGCGTGCTCATCATGGTGCTGCTGGCAGCTGTGACCGTGCGACGCCCGGAGCCACCCTTCTCCACCTGCCGGCATGGCGAGGACCCCCTGGACTGGACGGGTGAGGGCCTGGCCCCCGCGGAGTTCCGGGCAGTGCAGGCACGGGGGCTGGGGACAGCCCTGGAACCTCCCTCCACAGCCCTTTCTCTTGGGGCGCCTCACTCTCCTCTCATGGGGCGGGGTTGTGGTGGGGTCAGAGGTCAGCAGGCAGACCCCTGTGTTCAGCATGGTGGGTACAGCTTGGAGATCCAGACCAAACCCCAAGCTCTACATCTCCTTTGTGGGTTATTTTAAAACCAGGGAAAGAGAAAGCGAGACAGCAACAGACAGAAAGAAAGACAGAGAGTCAGAGACAGACAGAGTGACAGAGAAAGAGAGACAGCCACAGAGAGACAGAGATGCAGGGACAGAGAGACACAGAGAGGAAGACAGATACAGAGGTGGCCACAGAGATAGAAAGAGACATAGATAGAGCGACAGAGAAAGACAGACAGAGACAGAAACAGGGAGACAGAAGGACAGAGATAGACAGAGGGAAAGACTGAGAAACAGAGAGGGGAGTGGAGCAGAGATCAGAGAGGTGGGGTGTGCTGCTGACCTCGGAGCCCACAGCTGGGGACCGTGGGTCTGTCAACAGCCTCTAGGGGCCTGCCAGGGGCTGGGAAGGGGCCTGTCTGGGCCCTGCTCTGTGGTTATGGTTAGTGGGGTCAGTGTGGGTCAGGATCACCCAGGCTTGGCCGTGGCCCCTGTGGAGGGAGCTTGGCTGCTCAGGGGCAGCTCCAGGACAGAGCTGTCCATGTGTCCCCAGTGTCCATGCTGCTGATGGCCGGCCTGTGCACCTTCTTTAGCTGCGTCTTGGTGATCTTCTTCCACACCCCATACCGGCGTCTGCAGGCCGAGTCTGGAGCATCCCCCTCCCCACAGGACGCATGCTCGGGAGCTGGAGATGATGCACCACACCCCACCCCACACCCACCCCTTGAGGCTCCGGGCACAGCACCCTCAGGGGCAGCTCATGCCTAGAGCTGGTTCTCCTGGCCCTGGCTCCCCCGAGAGACTCCAGGACTCTCAGACTGTGACCAGTGATATCTCATGAAGGGAAGGCAGGACAGACAGGCCTGTGTCACTTGGCAGTGCCAGCCACAGCTGAGAGCCCGAGACAGGACCCTGTGGTCCTTGGCACACCCAGGGCACAGTGGGATGGCTCCTTGGCCCCAGGGCAGACTGTGTGGCTGTAGCAAAAAGAGCTACTGCTGTGTGGACAAGAGGCCACTGACCAGTCAGGACACTCTGTGGCCTGGCCAGACCCAGGGTGGCCAGTGCAGGGCAGGCAGTGCAGGGGCAATATGGCAGGGGGGCTGGCCCAGCACGTGGAGCACAGGGTAGAGCAGGGGGCATGGGGGTCCTGAAGGGTCCTGAGGCCGAGTCTGGAGCGGACAGGTGTGGGGAGGGCCTTGCTAGAAGGGGCCCATCCCAGAGCCTCTCCTCTGCTAGCCACAAGGACGGGGGCAGCAGAGGGGCCCCCAGGCAGATGCAGACCCTCCCTCCCCCGCTCCTCCCCACAGGCAGACACTCGCAGGCAGGTCTGTGGGTCCACGTTTCTTGACTTGGCAGGGGGAGCCCCTCACTTGTCCTGTTCCTGCCCATGGGAAAATTGGAACATCTGGTCTACCTGCCAGCGGTTGTGGGGTGGAGGATCGGTCAGAGCGGGTCAGGCCCAGGCGTGAGGGGTGATAGCGACAGGGCTCCCCACTGCCCCAAGTGGGGCCCAGATGCGGGTGAATTACAGGTGCCGAACTCAGGCCAGCTCTGGCTCCGGGTCTTGCTTCGGGCTGGGTGGGCAGGTGGGGAGGGGGCTGTGCAGGGCGGCGGGCGGGGCTGGGGCTGGGGGATGCACAGACAGCCCGGGCCTTCGGTCTGCTCCGTCCACAGTCTGTCCCTCTGGTTACCAAGCTAGTCAGCGATGCCCAGGTGTCCAGCTTGGGCCTTTCTGCACCGTGGGGGAGGACGGGGGCCCAGAAGGTGGGGGGCCACGATCTTGCCCAGTGGCACTGGGGATGTGGAGTGGCAGGGGTGGAGAGCAGTGTGGGGACAGCACTGCTGGGAGCCGTGCCCCTCGGGCCAGGACAGGCCACACTGGCCGCTGAGTGGCCTCCACTGCAGATCTTCAAATGGGCACTCAAGGGCTCCCGTCCCAGGGGCCTGTTCTGAGCACCCACGTCCCACCCACCACCAGGCTGCAGCCTCTGGGGGCTGGCATCATCGCCCCAGCTGCTGCGGCGGCCCTGCTCCCATCCCGGGCCATGCCTGGGCTCCGCAGACCTCATCCAATGTCATTTTGTCAGCCTGGGACATCAGCAGGCGTTTGATGCTGAGGAGAGGAGGAGCCGGATTAGGAAAGGGGTTAGCGAGGCCCTCAGTGCCTCCTACGCCCAGCACCCACTCCTTGCTGATGCTGCCTTTGCCGTCGGGGTCCAGCATCTTGAAGGCTTTGACGATGGTCTCCTCAGCGTCTGTGCCTGCAAAGAGGCCTTGAGCCCCAGCATTGAGGGTTCCAGGCCCTGGGCTGCAAGCCTGAGCCTCAGGGAGGCCCTGCTCTGTCGTTCCCACCCTGGGGGCTCAGCTGGGGCCCGGAGATGGGGGTGAGTGCAGGGCAGAGCCCACCATGGCTCTGGGGTGGCCACAGGGGCCCCACAGATGTAGGTCCCCAAATGCTGGGGACTAGGTGGGCCACCCCCTCTCCCAGGCAGGCACCATCCAGCTTCTCCCCAGACAGGTTCAGGAACACGGTGATGGTGATGGGTCCTGAGGCCTCCTTCAGCATGGCGCCCACCTCCTCCTCCTTGACGCTGATTTTGCCTGCTGCAGATGCAGTGGGGGTCAGGAGTCACTGTGGCAGGAACGTCATCACCCTCCCTATCTGTCCTTGTTGATGTGTCTGCTGTCCCCGCTGACAGGTGACCCCACAGGGCTGTCACCTCTGTTGTTCCGAGAACAGTGTGGGGCACATGGAGACAAGGGAGGAGACAGGCAGAGAGGCGGCCCTCATGATGGGCACAGGCTGGGCCGCAGGAGCCTCGCCCCAAACCCTGAGCCTGGGGAGACCAGCTGCTGAGGAAGAGAGCACCTGGGCCATCGAGCCCAGGAAGAGGCTGTAATCTGCTGCTTTACTCACTGGGGCGTAAGGGGGCCCCTCCCAGAGGGAAGGCAGGTCACTTGGGACCTCATCCCCACCCCAGGTAGAAACTGGACTGCTTTCCCCAGTTCCCAGGGTAGGATCCAGAAGCCCCCTGCCCTCCCGGCTCACGTGTGGATCAAGGCTGCGGAGGGCAGTGTGCCTGGCTGAGCTGCGCTTGTAGGGCCTGGGGCAGAACTGGGGTCTGCTGTGCATAGGGTCTCCCAGCTCCACGAGGCTGAGCTGAGGGAGGGGCACACCTCCTGGTCAAGACCACCCGTCCCTGTACCTTGGCTCTAAGCCAGCTGCCTGTGGCATCCCAGTGGGGCATCAGCTCCTGCCCCAAAGCCCACCCCAGGCTCCCAAGGTGGGCTGCACCACCCACCCTGTTTCCTGGGAATGTGCTCTGCCAGCTCTGATCAGACCGGGGGCCTGGGGGTGCTCCCCTGCCTGGGGCAGGCTGAAGCCATGCTCGCACAGCCTGCAGGAAGTTGGGTTGGCCCACCTCCTCCAGGGGCACCTACCCAGGGAGGCATAGGTGTCCTTCAGGTCCTCCTTGTCAATGAAGCTGTCTTGGCTCTGAGAGTGAATGCCTGGGAACCAGAGCCGGGTTGCTGTGCAGCCAATGGGCCCGGTCCAGCTCACCCTGCCCCCGGCCCCATTGAGTGAGAGAGGCGGCCGCTCTCTCTAGCTCTGGAGCGAGGCCCACATGGGGTCTTCCCAGCACAAGCTTCTGGGTAAGGGGCTCCTGGCAACCGAGGAAGCCCTCACCTCCTTAAACTCCTGGATCTGGGTCTGCTCAAAGTTGGAGAAGACATTGGACAGGGCCCTCTGTGCCCACAGGCCCCCCCTTTCTTCTTGGTTTTCCTTCTGGCCTGAGATGACAGCACAGAGCTGAGGGTCCCCTCAGGGGCACCCTGCATTTGGGGAGACAATGCAGAGGATGGGTGCACCCCGAGCCCAGGCCCCTGGGTGGAAGGCCCTGATGGAAAGGGCCAGGCTCATGATGAACTCGCTGTGCTAAGGCCACTGAGGACCCAGGGGAAAGTAGACTCTGGGCTTGTTTTGTGCATCAGGGTTTCGTGAAGGCCATGCACACTCACAGGCACAGCTCGCACACTCTCACACACCCCTGTCCGGCCGCCTGCCTGGCTGCCTGCTGGCCGTGCCTGGGTCTGCCCGATGCGTCACGCCTGTGCCTGCCCTGCCCAGGCCGTGGGCTTGCCCGTCTTAAGCTCCTGCCCACTCCCCCAGGACAGCTCAGACTTCAGTTGCCGCTCCCTACAAGGACAGGCTTAGGCCACCCCAGGGGACTAGACAACTGCAGAGTGAGCTTCAGCAGCCTGGCAGTGACTCAGATACCTCACCCCCCACCCAGCCAGGCCCCCAGCCTCCTCAGGCACCTCTGGCCAGGTCCCCACCAGGAAGCTTTGTTCTCCTGAGGATTTTCTGCGTCTCCAGGGCCACCTGCACACGCCCTTGGCCAAGAGACTGGGAGGGGCTGAGAACCCACTTGGGTGCCCCAGGACCTGCTGAGAAAGGGGTGCCTTTTCCAGACTTGTGCAAAGTTGCTGTGAGTGTCCCTGGCGCCTGTCATCCACCGTTTGCTGAGTATATTCTCTGTGTTGGGGGCTCCCATGCACTGTCCTAACTTCCCTGCCTAGGTAGCAGAGAATAGTCCTTGGGGCCTGCCACCCTGGTCCTGGGACCACCCCTGTGACTTCACAGCTGGGAGCTCCTTGCCTGGCCCACAGGGATAATATTTCTGGAATGGAAGAGATGTGGAGATGGTCAAGCTGCCAGGTGGCCCAGGATGGGGTTCCAGGGCCCAGGGCCCAGATCTGCTGTACCATGGCTTCATGAGCAGTTTGGGGAAGAGACCTGGTCTGGGGTCTGTTGGTGGTGCAAGGTGGGCAGTTGGGACCCCAGTATCATGCCTGGAGAATAAGACCTTGGAGCCCCCAGGCCTGTGTTTCAGTGGGAGGCGGCAGGAAGCAGGACCCAGGGCAGCTGCAGACCTCGGTGCAGCTGAGAGTGAGGGGGTGGGAGCACCTGTGTGTAGCCACATGGGTGGGTGGGGTATGCATCTCTATAGCAGGCTGCAGGTGCCATGTGGGTGTCTGCTATAGCTGAGATCGTGCCTCAAGAGATACACAGCCTCAGTCAGGGACAGCTTCCCCTGAAGTGCTGCCACAGGGGTCCCCAGGGCCAGTGGGTCTTCAGGCAGGCAGCGCTGACACCCTGAGCTTGAGGACCCTGGGGAGGCTCAACTTGCCTGGGAGGGGCCTTGGGGGAGGTTCCCAGAGGGGAGAACCAAATGTAGGAGCCAGGGCTGGGTTTGCCTAGAGCAAGGGCAACCCACTGCCCCTAGCAGGCGGGGCTTGGGTATGACCTGGAGGGGCAGGGCCTGGGCTGCAGGAGTCGGGAGCACCACATTGAGGATCTGTGCTCAGATGGCCCCTGATGCTGGAAATTGGGAAGGGCCAGCAGAGCCCCCTGGGGAGGGTTCTGGCTGCAGGGGTGCACAGCACTAAAGACAGCAGCAGCAGAGCCCGGGAACCCTGGAGAGCATCGGGATTTGTACCGACAGCTGACCCGACAGGTGCAGAGGCGTCGGCAGGTAGCTGGTGTCCTGAGCCCAGTGGGCCCCCCACGCCCTTTCCCTGTGTCCTCTGCTGGTGCCCCTGCCCCGCTCCAAGTGGAAGCTGCTGGTATGTGGTCCCCCCACCACCACCACTTTTGCCCCACCTTGGGCCTGAGAGACACTTATTTTTGATTTTGGACGCAGCAGTTGCTGAGAAGTCAGGTATATTTTAAAATCCAGGGACGGGAAGACCTGTTTTGTCACCGAGTGCAGCCCAGCTGCTCAAGGGCAAGAATGGGAGTATGGGCTCAGCCCCGGGGAGGGCCACTTGTTCTGTGCCTTGTGGGTCCACGCGGCTGCGCTCGAGGAGGGCTGGGGCAGGGCTTGGGGTCTGCCTCCCACCACACCAGGAGCTCCAGGTCGGCATCACAGACGGGGAAGAATAGAGCAGCGCGGCCCTGTAAGATTGGCCTGGGTATCCCCACCCCCAGCCCAGGAAACAAGAGTGCAGGTGACGTCCCACTTTCCCAGCTGTGGTGGCCCAGGGCCCGGACTCCAGGGAGAGGGAGCAGGCTCTGCCTAGACCCTTGGAGGGCGAGTGCACCTCCCCGGGAGCCCCAGGACTGCCTGGCTCCACCCATCCCACCCCAGGGCTGCTGGGCACCTACAATGTGCCTGGGGGTTTTCATTGTTGCATCCCATTCACTTTAGATTCACAATTAAGTTCTGTTTGTCAAGGAGTGGATATGAAGAAAAGTAAGGAAAAGTGGGCTTCCTCCATCCCAGTGGAACAGTGCAGGGCCGAGGAGACCAGAGCACAGGCAGCCTCAGGGAGGCGCAGAGCCATTGCCACTGCGCTGGGACAAAGGAGCCCATGGGGGTCCCCCACTCACAGCAGGCCAGGAGCAGGACGAGACCTCGGGAAACCACTCCCGGGCTTCATGGGTACCACGTGTCAGCACCATGAGCACAGCTGGGAGACTGCTTGGACACGGCTCATCCCCATCTGCGGGCAGCCCCAGCCAGGGCTGACCACGGGGCTGTTGGACAGGTGGGCCTTAGAGCTTGCAACTATGGGGTCCTGGGGGCTTGGGGGTTTGGAGCACCCCAGCCCCTTCCTGGGATGAAAATAATGAGGGCTCCTGGGGTGAGGAAGCTTTAGCTCCACTGGAGGAGGGAGGCAGGAGACACCCAAAGCAGTGCAGTCACAGGAAGGTGGCCACCTTGCTCCATCTGGCCTGTTGGTGTGTCCGAGTTGGCCATAGACACTGGCAGAGGGTCATTGCCCTGCAGCCACCCCTCTCCACTGGCAAGGGGCCTGGGGGCAAGGGGACTTGCCCCGAGGGAGCCCATCTGCACCCAGATCACACTCAGCACAGGAGCCCCCACTTCCCTGCCCCAAAGCCTCCAGCACTTCCAGGGCGCCTGCACTGAGCCTGCCCTCGGGGGTCGGGGCCCCAGGTGTGCGCGACCCAGGGCGGCGCTGGGGGCCGGGGTCCCCTCGGCCTGCCAGGGCCTGTGGGGTGTTCTCCAAAGCAGTTCGTAAGCCTGACCTACACTTTCCAAATATGTGCGCATGTGTATGGGCCTCCATCAGCTCTCCACCTTCTCCGAAAACGCTGTGGGAGGGTCTGCAGCGGTGGGCGGGGGCAGCCGGGGCGCGCGCCCGGGCAGGGGTCGGGGTCGCACGCCGCCACCCATCTCCGGAAAACGAAGCCACCGCGTTACCCGGAGCAGACACCCGCCCCAGCCCATCGCGCATGCGCAGCCGGTCGCGGGCCGCGCATCCCAGCCCTTGTGCGCGTGCGCGCCCCGTGACGTCACCCGCAGGGCGGGGCGCTCCGTCTCCTCCGGCCACCAGGGGGTGCCACGCCACGCTCACTCGCCGCCGACGGCGCATGCGCCCCCCACCCCGCTCGCTACGCCTTTGCTCCCTTGGTTTTCCGTCCTCCCTGGTTTCGGGGTTGTGCTTCCGGTGCGGAGGTCAGGGACAAGATGGTGCCGCCGGTGCAGGTCTCTCCGCTCATCAAGGTGAGCCACGCTTCGCGGCCCCCGGATTTAAACTCGTTGAAGTTTGCAAATTGCAACAAACTTTGTAATTTCATTACCA